AGCCACTGGAAGCATCGAACCACCAGCCTTTCAGTGGTTCATGTGGCAAACAATGTTTAAAAATTCAATTAATCATAGGAGTGTTGCAGAGTGACTGCAAGATTTATCAGTTCAGTTCAGTAGCTTAGTCGTGTCCAACTCTTTGTGACCCCATGGACTGCAACACACCAGTCCTCCCTGTCCATCACCAACTCCTGGAGTTTACTCAAACTCATGTCCATCGAGTTGGTGATGCCATCCAACCATCTCATCCTTTGTCATCCCCTTCTCCTCCTGCCTTCAATCTTGCCCAGCATCAGGGTCTTTTCCAAGGAGTCAGTTCTTCGCATCAGGTGGCCAAAGCACTGGAGTTTCAGCTTCAGCATCAGTCCTTCCAATGAATATTCAGGACTGATCTCCTTTGGGATGGACTGGTTGGATCTCCTTGCAGTCCAAGGGACTCTCAAGAGTCTTCTCCAACACCACAGTTCAAAAGCATCAATTCTTGGGCGCTCAGCTTTAATTATAGTCCAACTCTCACATCCATACATAACTACTGGAAAAACCATAGCCTTGGCTAGACGGACCTTTGTTGGCAGAGTAATGTCTCTGCTTTTTAACATGCTGCCTAGGTTGGATCGTTAGAGCATGGCCACTCAATACAACTTCCGGTTTGCTGAGGGCTTCTCGGGCAGTGTCCAGACCCACAGGGTGCACACAGTCTTGTGTCCGGCCTTGAGCACCATGGTGTCAAATGTTTGTGAAGCGCTGGTCTCCAGTCTGTTCATTCCATGGTGTCCTACTCCTGCTACGTTTGGTCAGAGCTGACCCCACCTCACGCTTGGACTCTTGCAGTAGCAGCCGCCTCACCAGTCTTGGGTCCCTCTTTACCCCTCCTGCCCGTCACTTTCAGGGACGTCTCCGTGTCCGCACCGTGACTGGCTTATTCCCTGCTCGACCGCAGCTATCTGACCCAGCACCCCCACCCCCAGAATAAAGCCTGTAAAGCTTGTCACAATACGACTCAGTCTATTTTCCTTTGTGACTCAAAGTCCTAACTGATCACGTTCCTTCTCCGAAATGCGTTTGTACCCTCTGGCTCCCCTTATTTCTACGCTGTTCCCCAGCTCACATCTCTGCTACCATCATCTGGTCTGAAACGTTCTCTGATTATTAACATCCTTCAAGATCCAGTTCTAACATTATCTACTTTACAAGGTTGACTCTGAAGAAGAAAGAAAAAATATATATATTTAGTGTATGTGTGTGCACATGCATGTATACCTGCACACACACACAGTTTCTTACCAGTTGTGTGCAAGGCTGTTTACCAGTCTTGGGGAACACAAAGGGAGCAAGTCACTGTCCTTGCCCAGAGATGTAGCCAGTGCAAAGGGCCAGAGTAGGAGACGAGGACTGACATTGGACAAGGCTCACAAACTCGATAGGCTTCTCATGCCCACAACTTCCTTTGGAGGAACCTCTGGTAGAGCTCCCTACATAAAGCTGCTGGCAATTTTTCCAAGTACAAAATGTAAACCTAGCAGCGCTCTTCTGGCCTCCAACCAGCTTTGGGGGCCTTGGCTTTTGTCTCAGCTTAAAAGGGCCACCGCCTGTTAGATGAAAGAACCCACCCAATCAGATCCTCTCTCCTGGGAAGAATTCATTCGAGGGACACACAGATGGTCACTGAAGGCCAGGCTGCATCTGCCCCCGTGCAGTTCTCCTCCTCCATGAGGCAGGTAATGGGTCCCAACTTAGAAGCACTGGGACCCTGAGAGGACACATCACCATGGAGGTGACACCTCTGTTTCCTTGAGAATGAAGAAGCCCCTTCTCCAAGGGAATCCGGGAGCTGATTGGTACATGGTGTCATGAGAACATAAGCAAGCTTGTATGTGTGTGTGTTAAGTTGCTTCAGTTGTGTCCAACTCTTTGCAACTCTATGGACTGTAGCCCACCAGGCTCCTCTATCCATGGGATTCTCCAGGCAAGAATACTGGAGTGGATTGCCCTGCCCTCCTCCAGGGGATCTTCCCAACCCAGGGACCAAACCTGAGTCTCCTACATCTCCTGCATTGGTAGGCGGTTCTTTACCCCTAGTGCCACCTGGGAAGCCCAAGCTAGTACATGAGTCACCACCAAATAGGCCACTGTGAGAGGAGCAGACCCAGTAGTGGTCAACTGGGTCCAGTGTCAAAGTAAATGAGTGATAAAAGAAAGGTCAGACCCAGGAAGGTTTGCAGAATAGCCTGATCTAATCTGGCTTTACATATGAGCAAGGAGAGCCCCCGAGAGGCTGGCAGATGGACCCAAGGACCTCGACCAGTAAATAATAGAACTTTCAGGTCCTGGAACCCGGGTTCTCCCCACAGTAGCCCCATTGCACAAGGCCCAACCTAGACAAGACTTGGCTAGGTTCTGATGGCTTTTTTTTTTTTTTAAATCGAGGACTTTTCCGTGAAGCTAAGGAAGCTTCAGACAGCATCCCTTATGTCAGCTGTGTACTGACTTTTTAAAACTTGGAATTTTGTGAAGATTTTTTTCTTCATATTCCCCAATTATACAAGCTTCAGGGGTGCACCCTTGGTACAGCGGATGGGTTATTTGGGAAGGAAAGATGATATGGAAGAAAAGCTAAAAGAAAAAGAAAAAAAAAAGGTAAGGACTCCGGGGCAGATTCCAGAACATTCTCCTGCAGTGAGTTGGGTCGACTTTGCCTGCTCAGGAATTTCCTCCAAAAGGCCAAAGGGTGCAGGGGCTCCAATCAGGAAACCCCTATCCCCTATCACACTCCCACATTTGACAGGCAGGGTTGGGGGTGGGGGTTCGCACATCAGAAACCAACTGGGCCAGCATCAGTGAGAAAAAGAAAGTCAGGCACCCGAAAAGACCTCCCGCAAAGGCAACCCTGTGAGTAAAGTGTCGCCTCCCCACCCCCGCTCCTCCTGGGGAGATTCCACCTTCATACACAAAGCACGCATGCGGGATGACCCCTTGCGGTATGTTCAGCTCCAGGTGAAAGTGAGAAAACAAAGGGCGCCTTAAGGCCCGGGGCGGGCAGAGCCGCAGCCCTGCGGAGTACGGAGCACGTGGTGCGCAGGTCCCTCTCCGCCCAGAGTCCGGTTTAGAGGAAATGCTGGGCAGCAATGCATCTGCACGGCCACACGGGGGCGTCAGTCAAAGGCGCTTTCCGTCCGCCTGCTCCCGTTCGCCTTTAGAAGAGTTGTGAGACTTATTTTTCTCTCCTTGTTTTAAAAATACAATTCTTGTCATTACAAAATATTTTTAAAACATTACTGTCGTTACTACAAAACGTAAAGCATTTAAGTTAGAAAATGCATTAAAATGGCTTGTGGTCTGATTGTTAGAGAACTACTTAAGACCATATGCTTCCAAACCTTCCAATGATTATGTAATCATGATATACCCAATATATATTATATACATAATATATAAACTTATATAACCATCCTTGACAGACTTCTCTTAAAATGTCAGGAACATCTTCCCTTACCAACTTCTTGAGCGAAATAATTTCAGGTATTGGTGTTGTGTTCTGTTGTCCACTGCATTAAAAAACATTTTTATAGGTAACCCAGACGTTAGAGAAAGTTGCAAGCGCTGCCTACCGGGATATAGTGAGCTATATTCCTATTGCTGGAAGGACGTTTTTCATTTCAACTCGAAGGTGAACAGGAGGGACAGCTGGCCAAGGAAGTGAACACGCAGAAGCCCCGAGTGCGGGAGCCAGGACCCAAAGCCGCAGAGGCGACGTGGCTGCGGCCCCTGAGGAGACGGCGCAGGCCTCCCGGGGCTGGCATAGGGCGGGGGACCGGAGCGGCTGCCGTCGCCGCGGTCACCGGGAGGGCGGCCCGGCTGGTCTCCGCAGCGGGGAGATTCTTTTCGGTCGCCGAGCCCCTCGGGGCACAGGGGGACGGAAGCCCGAGACGCTCGCGGCCCCACGGGCAGGTCGGACGCTGAGTCCAGGCGGCGACTCTGCGCCCGCGCCCGGCCGCGGCCGATGGGTCCGGGCGTCAGGGAATCTGGGGATCGGAGTGTCGGCGGGGTGGCGGGCCAGTTGGCCGGTAGACCGAGGGAGCCGGAGAATCGGCGGGCCGGTGGATCAGGCGCCCGGTGAGTAGGTGGGTTGGCAGGGGTCGGGGGTCGGAGTGAGGGGGAGTGTGGGCAAGTCGGCGGGGCGGGGGTGGGGGAG